GAATGTGTGCTCTCCTCAGAAGCATTTTCTCTCACACGTAGTAGGTCCCCAGAAAATTCTCCTCAGCTGAACTGGCAGCAGCAGCCACAGCAGACCCGTAACCCTGCCCCACAGCAAGCCCTGTTTCGCCCAGGCTTCCGTACAGTCCGCGGGGCACGTTCATCCTGAGCCTCATGCCCTGTGTCGCTGAGGGCCTGAGGGCCTGGTCGGGGGACCAGCTCCCCTCTCATGTTCCCGTGTGCTCCTCCATTCAGGCAGCCAGTGAGTACAGACCTCACCCCAAGGGGAGGGCAGTGGACATTCTCAGGGACCCCCACAGCAGGCGGAGGGGAAGGGGAGGGCTGACCTTGGCCCCCACCACAGTGCTGCCTGCACCCCTCCTCCCTCAGCTGCCTTGTGATAATGACTGAACCTCCTATCGAATTCCTGTCTCACGTATTTATTACACAGACCCTTACAATCATGTTCGCTCCTCGTCTGATGTCACTAAGATCAATAAGCTCATCTCCAAAAGCCGTGGTCTTGGGCTCCATCAGTCCCTCAGCCCTCAGGGTGTGGGGTGGGGCTGCTCAGTGGACTGGCCCCACGCCACAGCCCTGGTGGCCTGGAGGCAATGCATCGAGGTCGACTCTGCTGGCCGGAGCACCTGGCCCCCCGCTTGGAGATTCTGCTCAGACCCTTTGCACAGCAGCCTGCCTGTCATCATTCCAGGCTGGCTGGCATGGGATTCGGACAGAGGGATGATTAACAGTGATCACACTGAATCTCAGAAAGCCCACTGTCCACGAGGACCGAAGAGGTAGCGTGATAACACATGCAGCCCACGGCACAGCCGCTGCCACTCAGGGGGAGGAGGTCCTGGCTTTCTCTGCTTCTTTGGGCCCTGCCTGCGTACTGTGCTGTGGCTGAGAAATCCCCGAGTCCCAGGATGCCATCCATACCACTCACATCTCTGCTGTCCTCCCACCAGGAGCTGGATCGAGTCTTCAACCAGCCCAAAGTGTGAACAACTGGAACCTGAGTGTGTGACTTGTATGCATTGTCACTGACCACGCTCTCAGCCATTCTTCCCACACCTGAGGCCCTGACCGCTGCCCACTGTCAGCGGTCAGACCCCTGAGGCTCTGGCCACCAGAGCACCCTCAGGCAGGCAAGCAGGGGAGGTGCCAAGGAGCTGGCATCCCTGAAAGCAGCTGTCAACACATGGCAGCAGGCAGTTGGCAGATAAACACCCCAGAGACCCCCGGTGGGAATGGGCCTTGTTGCCCACAGAAGTGACATGCTTTTTAATGCATCGCATACTGGCTTCCCTGTCTCACTTCTTCTCCCAAATAAACTATGTGCACTGAAACCCTTGTCTTGGGCTGACTTCTGGGGGGGACCCTAAGACCCTTGGGAAGGGAACGAATTCTATTTCACTGGCGACTTGTTGATTAGCAGTAGGAGCCCTCACAGGCTGGGCCATGCTGCAACAGGGTCGTCCTGCCTGCGTCGCCCCTCCCCAGGCTCTGCCACGGGTCATGGGAACATGTGACAGAAGGAGGGCTGCAGCTAGAGGATGGAGCTCTCAGATCCAGACACAGGCTGCAGACGTGCAAATGTGGTTTTGCACAGGCTATAAGAAAGACGGTTGACACCCCCACAGTGTCCTAAAAATGCACAGCCAACAAAAGCAGCATCCAATACATTTATCAACAAAGATCCCACTGTTGTGGGATTTTTCTGACAGAGCAGCTCAAGAACGGAAATGCCCAGAGAGGCCAAGGCAGCTGCTGGCAGTTGCACAGCATGGGGTGGCCGGCATGCCCTGAGTTGACTTTCTCCTGCAAGCCCACTGAATGAGA